CAAAGCAAAGCAGCAGCTGAATAAAGAATAAAAGCAAGAAGAGATTAAAGGAGATACTTGAGTCCCGAAGAAAGGAGAGCATTGCATAGCAAATGATTTGCAGGGGATGGAAAAAAAGGGTGAGGGATCAATTCTCAAGTAATATCTTGATGAAGTTGCTGGAGAAGTAAAATTACTGTAGCAATAGGATAATGTGGATAGAGAAAGCCAGCACGAGGTGGTAAAGAAACAGCCAGATGCTATATATAAAATCAGAGAGCATCTAAGCGGCCTATTTGTTTTTTTCAGTGGAAGGTGAATAACACAACGAATTACCCATCACAAAGCATGGAAATTGCAGCAGAGATGATTGGGACACTGCTTCTGGAAATAGCTGAACAAAGAAGAAACCCCTCTGATCATGGCATTCCAGGAGAGGAGTAAATTGGGAGAACTGCACGCAGAGCTTAGGCCAACATGTGCTGTAAATGTTTGAGCAGTAATCCATTGCTTAACAAATGGGAAAGCAGCAGGCAGCAATTGCTGCTCAGCAGAACTGTTCAGAGCAGGAAAGTATCCCTGCCCAATGGCTGCGCACAAAATCAGGCTCTGAGAGCACTGCTGCTGAGCCCCAAACAGAGCAGAGTAAAATCACCGGAGCATGAAATTCTGGAATTACTCTCCATGCACCTTGGAGACTGGCCCCAGCAACTGGGTGTGCTTCCTCAGATACATATTTTACTGCCCTTTAAGCAGTAAACATCCACTGGGCCCAGCAAGCAGCATTGTGCAAGCAGCCTGTTTTGTTGGATTCTGTTTTGTTGCTGCTCAAACTCACAGTCAATCTTCAGTGATTTACTGAGGAGGATTGGGCACACCAGAAATCATTTTATTTCATCATCTCTGCCCAAGGAATTCAATAGTTTACACTACCCGCCATTGTGAAAGATGCTGTTTGAATCTGAATGTCCCCTCCGGGTAATCATAAAAGGATGCCTGACTTGTATCTGAGCAGAAAAAATAGCAAAGCCCCTGTTTGCACCAGCAGGAGAGGGGAAAAGGATTATTCCGATGTCTTTGCTGATAGCTGTCTCGGACATTTCCCATCTCTGCTGTTCCTCAGTACCATTGAGGCTATAGACATTATAACAACACGTGGATGCTTTGATGTTTCTGAAAATTAGCTGTGCTTTATGGTATATTTGATTAGTGTAACATGCAACTGGCAAATATTAATCTGGAAGCACAGGAAGGCAGCAAGCTCTGGGAGATAGAAAGTAATGGAAGGGTTAAGCTGCCTTTATTTTTGCCAGCAAGTATACATTCTCTGTTCCCCATCCACCCCCGTAAAGTACAAAATGTAGCAGATGTTTGTGAACAGCTAGCCTGATCTATCAGCCTTTACATAAATGAAGGCTGAGTTACTGAAGGAGAAGGCAGAATAATGTTTACAAGAGAAGAGCAAGAAGATTTCCGACACCTGGGCAACTTAATGATGGCAGATGGCAAAAGCTGAAGGCAAGGAGAAGCAGCAACGTGCACCAGCAGCTGTCGAACAAACGGGGAGGAGGAAGGCCTCCTCCGAAACTGCACGGGAAGGATTTAATACCTGCAGTTGGGTGAGGGTGAGAGCGTCAATATGCAGAGAGAGGAGCCCGTGCTTTAACTCCTCAGATAACTACCATCAGAAGTACCCAATGGATTGTCAACCGAGGAGATTTTCACAGCAAGAAGCCATCTATTTGCATCAAATAGTGTCAGCCTGCAAGGCAGAGACTTCTGGGTCATTTAACAGTGCTCCAGATGTAGTCATTTTCTCTGAGGCAAGAGGCTCAAAAAGAGCAATGTGAGAAAGAGCCAGTCGGCATGGCAAGGGGACAATCAAGCAGCATGTGGAAGTGATTAACCACTCTGTGAAAGGTAACTCAGTTAATGGACAGAGCTGCAGGACACCTGGCTGTCTGTGGTGCTCAGCACAACAGAGACTGCAGGACTGGGGCCAAACACAGGGCTGCAATTCGCCATCAGGACACAAACCATTTCTGGCTTTGCACTAGTGCTGTACATTATGACCAGTCACCCGGCAGCCTGGCTGTGTGTGCCCTCTAAAGCTGCAGCAGACACAGGTGTTGACAATTGTACCATAGGAAAGAGAATGGAGAGCAGCTAGAACTGTAAATGAAGGCACTGACATCAGCTGACTTTCTTAGTAATTCTTTCATCAAAAAGCCATGGGTGGGATTAAAATGTGTAGCCAAGATCAACATGGGGATTTTATCTTTCCCATGCTAGACTCACCCTTTCTTTGGAATATCTGCCATCAGCAAAGCTCAGTTCTGACTTCAGGCTCCATGAAGCCCAAGAATATCTGGATGTGCATGACAGAACTTGGCCTCTTTTAAAGGATTATTCTGGCTAAAACTATCTTTACTCTCCAAAACTCCCTGAAAGGAGGTTATAGCAAGTTGGATGTTAACCTCTTTTCCCAGGTAACTAGTGATAGGATGAGGGGTAATAGCTTTAAGTTGCACTAGAGAAAGTTCAGTTGGATATTAGGAAAAATTTACTCTCTGAAAGAGTGGTGAGGTTTTGGCATTAGGCTGCCCAGGGAGCAGTGGAGTCACCATCCCTGGAGGTGATCAAGAAACATGGAGATGTACCACTGAGGTACATGGTCAGTGGGCGGTACTGGTGATAGATGAACCATTGGACTAGATGATCTTAGAGGTCTTTTCCAATCTTAGTGATTCTATGATTCATTTATGCTGTAATTATACATTTTTAATGCACAGTGTTACCTGCTGTGCATGTCGCATCTGCAGCCTGCCAGTCTAAAGCTGTGCTGACCCAGCATGGAAGAGCCATCATCATTGCTCCAATGTCTTCAGCACGTGGCTCACACCAAGTGCCTATGGATTAACGAGTCTCCCTGCTGCTGTTTCAAATGCAGACATGTTTTGAAAAGCACGCAGCAAGTAGAAAGAGTGCTGTCTGATAGGTATGCAATTTCAAAACAAATTTGTAATGTTCCTAGAGAACTTATCACCACAGGAAAAGAAAAGGTTATTGTATGTGTAACCTGCAGCTCTAATTATATTGTGTACTTCCCTTGTGCAATTAGAAATGTGTAACAGAGAGTTACACTTCCTAGTTACGTTTCTGTCAAATTCTTGATATAATTGGGATGACTCATAATGAAATTATGCATTATTTGTTCCATTTGTTATATTGTTTGACTTAAAATCAGCATGCAAAATCCAAATCTCCTGAATTCTTCCTCTCCACCCCTCGTTGGTTGTTTCCTACACGTATATTGGTCGGGTAGACAAAAGCATTTTTAAATTGTTGCAATTCCTTTGCAAGCTTTCCCAGAGAGGGTTTGCTGCAGACCATGACCGTTGATATGCAGCTCCCTCTGACAGTTGCACCTGTTGTCAGAGTGACTTTAAATTATCACAAAGGGTCTCCTTTGGAATCACTGTAGCAGGGAAGTCCAGGGATTCTTTATTGACCATGTGAGGGGAGCTGAGAACCATCCATTCTTTATGAGCCACCTTGCATTACACAGGTTGGAAACAGTGCAAATAGATGGCAATGATCCTGTGCTACAGCCTGCCAGTAAATGAAATTGTCTCCACTTCAGCACTGGAAGCTCTCAAAGGGTCACCAACAAAGTCAGAACCCCCAGGTCTGTGCAATCCCAGCAGGAACGTCTGATGCCTCTTGTACTGCTGTGCCATCCCACTCACAGACCAATGACACAGTGAGCCCCACAGTGAGACAGGTGTGCATTGCTCAGGACAAGGAGAACTTTTCTTTCCTTCCCTTTTTCTTCTCCCTTAAGGGCAAGTTTAGCGCTTAGGAAGATGCTGAATAGGTGGTAGAGGAAGATTTCTTTAAATGATCACAAAGCAGGAATTGTCACCGTGCACAGTACGTTTGTTTTAATCTTAGGGACATGAACTGAATGGTACCAAAAATTCAGGCAGGTGCTGCTGGGAAGCAGAGTGCCAAATGCCTCAGGCTGCCTCCAGCCTCTGGCCACTGCTGCTGGAGGTGCAGCTGCACCGGTGGCTTTTCCTTTTGTCCACTAGGGACCACACTGGGACCAGCAACTCCGGACTGACGGCAGATGTTATCCAACGAGTTTTGATTTGTCCTCACCAGGCTGGTTATGAAGTAGCAGCCAAGGAGCAAAGAGTTCAGCAGGGCAGTAATATTTCTGACCTGGGATCTAGGGATGCACACAGATGTACTGAAGACAGCAGTGTGGTAGCATCCTGTTACAACCCCTCTTCCGCACACCATAAATACCACATTGTTTATGATTCTTCCGTTCATCACTATCCTGCATCATGTCAACTTGCAAATTTAGGTTGCAAGATCCTCTCTGCAAACGGTATTTTACCTTTTGGGAAGCACAGCCTGCTTCTGTCCCATGTAATTCCAGCCATTGGCACAGTCCCTCCATCCTCTTTCTCCCCCCCTGCCTCACCTGCCCCACGGAGCTCCAAGAGCTCTCAGCTCCCCACCTCCCAGCTCAGCCCCACTAAGGTGCTGCTGCCCTCATTTTGCTGCTTGCATCGGTTTCAGGAGCTCCAGTCGTTTCCTTCCCTTCCCCGGAGCGGCTTTCCTCTTAGTTTCCAAACAATGTGTGAAGCCCAGTTCTGCAGGCACAGGAGCCTCAGTGAGTTTAAGGATGACTGAAGCTATTTCCTCTCCCGGGGAGGTTTAAAAGCCGCGGGGGGATGCGTGGGGTGAGAGCGATCGCTGCGTTTCCAGCAGCCGCCCTCTCCCAGCACTGAATCGCGGCAGGAGCTGTGTGCCCAGCCTGGGTGAACAAACCCTCCCGAAAGCAATGCCTTAAAGCGCTGCAAGCAGCCTTAAGTGCGCCGGAGATAACTAATTTCAAGCATGGCTGTCTAGTGTGCCTGTCATTCCCATTGTCCTTCCAAACTATCTCAGACATTTTGAGCGGGGAGCACCCAGCTATGAGTTAGTAGGGGTTGTGACACCGATGGTCCAAAGGGGTTGGAGCACCGGGAGGGGACGATGACAGCGCTTAACAACTGGTGGCACTTTGGAGGATACGGCTGGAGCTCTGTTTATTAACAATTAGGCTTCGCCTCGGAGGAAGATGTGACAGCTGTCGGAGGTAGGATTTGCATGCGAGACAAAGGGAGCTGTTGCTGCTGGGTGCTCCGGGTTGTGCAGCCAGGTGGGGGCCGGGAGGGCCGGGCTGCGGGGAGCGCTGCCGCCAGCGCTGGGGCTTCTGGCAGAAATGTCTCGGGGACAAAGCGGCTCCGGAGTCGTTCCCGCTGCGTGTGCGCTCCCGTGAGCGGAATGCATAGAGGTCATGCGGGAAACACTTCGCCCCTCACCTACCGAGCTGCTTCTGGGGTGGAGAGGGGAGGGTGCCCTAAAATAAAAGGGCAAGGGGAAAGCAACAGACCTGTCAGCTGGAGGAGACTGCTGTTAACATGGAAAATGTGTCTGGTGTGCCACTGCTGTCATTTGGAAAGGGGAAAATGAAAAGGGGCTGGATTTTCCGGTGGAGAAACTCCTTGGGCTATAACTTACTGCAAAAAAAGAAACCACAAAATATAGCGTGTCCAACCATTTTGCGTAATCAAAGCTTCCTCTGCACTGTTGACATTGTTTTGCTGGATGAGAACTGTAGTTTCAGACAGAAGGAGGGAGGGCTCCCTGCTGTGCTGCTGCCAATCCCTGCCACCCCCCCTCCACAAAACAGCGGTGTGGGGAGAGAGGTGTTCAGTGCTCTGCTGGGTACCCAAAGGGCTGCAGCCAGGGCTGGGACTGGAGAAATGCTCAGCAGTGCTACAGGAACAGCCTCTGGACAAGGCTGGTTTCATCTCAACCAAAGTCCTGGAGGAGATATGCAAAGTTGGGAGCCTCGTGGACTTTTTAGCAATGCGTCCATTTGGCTTTGCTAGACCAAAAAATGTCCAAACCCCAGAGTCAGGTCTGTACAGCAGAACAGGTCTGTGTGTGGCCTTCCTCAGTGCTGGGCTGCAAGTTTATGTATTTGCATTTGTGTGCATCACCAGGATAAGTAGCAGGAACTTAATGAACAAAAACCTTACATAGGTGCACATGCAGCATCAGTATTATTTGGGGTGTGTGATGTGAGTGTGACTTTCCCTGGGCTGATGAATTGTTTCTGCTTACGTATTAAAGTTTCAAATTCCCAAACAACAGAGAGACTTCAGAGTGAGAGGTATTTAGCAACAATAAAATGCTCTGCTTGCGGAAATGCCTCTCACAGGAGCTATTAAAAATGCACTCAAAGGAGCTGCGAGTCATGTCTTGCAGCAAGGGATATAGTACTGCTCACTCTGCTAAGTATAAAAATGAAGGCTGTGATATCATTTTAAACCAACTTCAGTGTGGGTGTCTACAGGCATACTTTACAATGCTGTTGTTAAATGCTCACAACTTAGAGAATTCTGGTAGATTGAGTGTTTTCATTACAGCTTCATTAAAAAAAAAAGATTTCCAATGTAGTAGGGACTCACAGAGGAATCTGAATTTACTCATCCTAACAAATGTTCCGTTTAAGGAGAATTTCAATGATTATAGCAAGCAAACTTCACGTGGGTCATGGTGTCACTCATTTGAAAACGATATACTGATGACAATTTAACAACAAAAGTGCCACATGCCTACAGTCACAGCAAATACAGTTTGTGCCAAAGGGAAGCAATATTGGCTTGGAAACAGCGAGAATTCCCCCTAAGAAACACAACTTACAAATATTCAGCGTCCGAGCAACAACTTTTCAGTCAAGCACATTGCTTTGCATTGCAGACTGGGGAAAAAATCATTTCAACCCATGCTATCTACACTACTATGTAGGACAAAATGATAATAGGGGAAAATTTCTCTCAAGAAAATGTTCCCAGGAGTTTGCAATATGGCTTAAAGAGATGTTATGCAGAGATATTAAACCTGTGTCAGAAATGAGCAAGCAGAAATCAAGCACCCATCTTTTCTTCTCCATCTGCCTTTTATCCAGAGGCTTTGGCAATTTTACTTTTTTTTACTTTCCATCCTGCAGGGCCTTGGGCAATCCCCAGCCTCACTGCACCATGGGCAGTTGTTCTAGACTGTGGGACAGTGTACCAGTGAACATGTAGCTGGTGGTGCTTAGGGAACAAGGCTGCACGTAGAGTTCAAGAAAAGGGAAAATGTGCAAAGCAAACTTTTGTTGCAGGAGTAGGTTCATATTTCAGGTGTTTTCGGCTGTAAATAAGACATATTGCAAATCCCATGATTGAAAACTAAATCTGCTTTCAGAACTATTCCAGACGAATTTGCCACTTACAAAAACGCCTGCCAGTAGCAAATATCCATTTGCCTGAGAGCCTGTCAGAAGCGACTCCAAATCTCTTCGTGCTCCCTATGCTCCACCAATGCGCAGCAGATAATGAAGTAACCCGCATCAGATTGATTCACTGTGCTGAGAAACAATTTTGCTGTTTTCTTCAAAAGCTGAATGAGTACTTTATGCTTTGAATCTCACTTGTCCTTCTGCTTTATGAATTGCCTGTGGGGCTCATGCAATTTTCTAATTTATTTATTTGATATTATTTGGGAATTTCATCAGTGAGTAACACTTGGCTGGCAGATCTTTTGGGAACGGCAAGTGCTTGCAAATTCATACTGTGTTGCCTATTTTAGTCATGCGGTGTTCCTCGGGTGGATGATTTGTGTAACTAACTAACCAAGTGAATAGCAGATTTTACAAGCAAGCGAACAATTTCATCTTGGATTCCCATCACTATCTGAGCAGTCAGGTTTCAAGTTCCTGTCTTGCGAGGAGTCATAGGAGCAACACATGCAGGGCTCCCACCAGGCAGATGTGAGAGCCGGGTTAACAGCTTTCAGATTCATATGAATATTCATGGCAAATGTTTGAATTCTCGCAGCTTTGCTAAAAGGAACAGTCAGCATCATCCAGTGCGCACGGCATGGGCCACTCTCTCGCAGCGCTTGCGGAGCGTGAACATTATGAGACAGGGTCTGGCACAGCATGGGCAAGTGAACGTGCCCTGACGATGCGTAGCGATGAAGCTGCTGAGCGGAGGTCGCTGCCCCCAGGTTCGCGATCGCAGCGAGCGCGGGCGAGGGCGGGACCCGGAGCTGTCCCCCCTGCGGGTGCTGACTGCGGGGACAGGGGTGACGTGGCTCGGTGTTGTCATGCAGGGCGCTGACGGCATGCCAGGGAGATGTGGAGGAGCTGCGAAGCAGCAGACAGAAAGGAAACTAACATCTGGTGTATGGCTGAAAAGCAGGGAAAAGCAGTTGGGCGAAGAGTTTCAGTCAAGTGGTTTTTTCTCAGACAGAAAAAAAAGCAGCTGTCAAAACACCAAGCTCTTTTGACTCAGAAACAAATGAGGAGGAGAAGGTTATAGAACAGAGATGTGTTAGCCTTTTGAACTGATTTTGTACTCTACTTTTGTAAAATAGGAAACCTCAGGTCTCTTCTTGAGTGTTTGTATAGTTCAACTACTTCCCCACTGTATATAGAACAAGCCAGGTGCCTGCTGAATGGTTGGGACTGCTGTGCCAGCACTGAGCCGACCAGCAGTGTGACAGCCTATTTTGTTGGCTCTTTCCACCCTTTCAGTGATTTTGAACCTCAATGATCCTAATATCCTTATTTGTTTTAAAAGTAGAAACAAGCCTGAACAGCACACAGCAAACAAGCCATGCACCAACAGTCACTGTGGGCAGTACCTGTGCAGTTATGTTGTCAGGGCACACACAGTGCCAGATTAGTGCTGCTTGGGGAGAGTAATAGAACTAGAAGAACTAGGGAAGCCAAAAACAAAGAAAACAAAGAGGATCTTTGCTACAAAAAAAATTGATTTCATGTCTGTGGTGAAATTCCAACTTAAAACTCCCCTTAGATAGTGCTAAAACTCTTTCTATGTCTCTTTCTTCAAATACTGCTTTTGCTTTCTTAGTATAAAGCTGACCTATTGGCCACGGTTAGCCCATATCTGTGCTTGTTCCAGGCAGGATAATTTTCTATAGACCATTTATAAAGCAGTAGTTCATTTTTAAAGAGAAAACAGATAAATCCCACCTTGTTCTGCCCTCATTGCTGGGTACCATGTTTGCATCATCTGTTCCCATGGCAAATTCTGCAGGGACACCCAGCAACAATCCTGGAGCTGTAGCACCTTCTGCCAACATCCCGGAAAGGGTAGAGGCAGCAACATGGCTGTTAGTGAACAGAAGTTCCCCACTGTTTATCATCCATTTCTGTAGCTCTGCAGGAGTAACTTGTCAGCTCTGAGGCACTCAATAGTCTTTCAAAACTACTGCAGTAAACACACAAGTTCTTTAGGTAACCATTTGCATCACAGCTTGGCCAAAACCTCACTAAAACCTTCAGTCTTGCCTGCTGGCCCCTTGGCATTGGGCTGCCCGCAAACTCCCCAGGAAACTGAGAGATACAAAAGCAACAGAGAAGGTATCCTTCAGGTGAAAGGAGGAAAACAGCTGGAGATGTTAGATGACCTTAAAACACTAATGGGGGTTATGACTAGATCTCCAGGCAGTGGATGCGATGGGCATGTGACAGCTAGGACCAGCCCCAGCCACCCCCAAGTACCTGGTCATTTTGTTGTTCAGGAACATTCAGTGTTCCTCTTGCTAGCATGCCACTGAGTTGCCCTAAATCAACCACCACAAGTATTTTGAAGACCAGAGGAGACAAAAGACTATTTGTCCCATTTCCCCGCTTCCCTGTCTGGATCAGAGATCAGAGTGAAACTGAAGTTTATGTGTAAGCCCAACATGGTCCACCTCCCATTGTCACTGTCCCAGCAGGAGCCCCTGCATGGCACAGCCTTTAGTGCCTCCAAGGCCCAGTACCAGAGGAGGGCTGGGATAACATCACTGCCTTAAAGAAGTGTTGCAGAAAACATTCAGTATATTTGGCTGTACTTGCAGACAGCCTATTTTCCACCTCAGCAGAGTGGTACTCCTTTCTGACAGCCATTAGTTATTTGCAAATTTAGATGGGCCCTATAAACGTCAGGCTCCTGAGAGAATAAATAATATTTCAGAGCAATAACTTGAAATAAGTCAAACTCAGAATGGTGAGAAGGCTACTAGTATGGT